GGGTGGGGGGAGGTGGGGAGGTGGAAGGAGAATCACTTGCTACCTGTCCAGGTTCTGGTGGGACCATTTCCCCCAGGAAGTCCTCCCAGATCACTCGAGCCCAGGCTCCAATTCCTACAGCCCTGATCATCTCATGCTTTGAGGTGGGGGGCTGGGGTACACAGAAGGACTGGGGTCCATATGGGGTCGCACGGTAGTGTCCAGATGCCGAGATCCTCCTCCGTCCGTTCACCCAGCAGAGGGTGGGTCAGAGACAGGCTCGGGGACTCCCAGCCCTCTGCGGCCAGGGCTGAGCCCATGCGAGGGGCCGGGCAGGATCGAGCGAGGGCACAGAAGCCGTAGGGCTGGGGAGGGACGAGACTGCATGCAGGGCGGGAGTGAGCCCCTCGGGAGGCAGTGGTGATGACCTGGACAGCAGACAGGCCCAGTGACTGGACCGGGCCGTCCAGCCTGCCCAAGGATGGCGGCCATGGGGTCTGAGCCCCATGGCAAGAGGGGGATCCCCAATGGCCAGGCTGAGAGGGAAGCCCCTCCCCAGGCCCAAAGCCTCCAATTCTGGCTTCAGCACCAAGAACAGCTCCCTGCCCATCTCCGGAGCTCTGGAGGGGTCCCCATTAGTCAGGGCATCCACAACAGGACCCTCCATTAGATGTCCCCTAGATAGACCCCACTGCTTCCTGGAGGGTCCGTAGGGGCCTCCTGGGACCTCCTTGGGCCTCAGTGTCCTCACTAAAGTCAAAACGATGCCTTGTCCTCAGGAGATGGGGAGGATGGGGATGGCAGAGGTCAACGCTGTTTGTAAACTGTGAGTTCCTGCCACGGGCCGCGATTTTCCTCAGCATCTAGAGCTCTGCAAAGTCTGCACACAGAAGGGGCTCGGGGTGAGTGTTGGCTGAATGAACGAGTACATGAATATTTCTAAAATTTCAAATTGGATCCCACCCCCTTGTTGTACAAGGGGAAACTGAGACTGGAGAAGAACGTGGCCAGATTCCAGCATCTTCTCTCCAGGCCTAAGGGCCTCCTGGGCAGGGGGAGGCGGGGAGGGGAGAAGGCCTCTGGTGGTGGGGGGTGGGAGCACTGTCACCCACAATTGTACAAATACTGATCCACTATGTGGGGCGATGCCACGGTCCCAGAGGCCCAACTCTGGCCAGACTCTCAGGAAGCCCCCGGGCTAGGGGGTCCCTGGAGGGGAGTGAAGGTGCTGGGGCTGGGGGTGGGGAAGGGCAGCAAGGTCTCTATCTGGGAGGGGAGTGGAAGGTGTACAGAGCAGGGGGCATTGGAGCTGGGCTCTGCAGGTTGGGTAAGAGATTCCTGGGGCAAGCAGAGGGACAAGGGAACAGCAGAAGCACGGGCAGGGAGATGGAAGAACGTGGCCCACTTGGGAAGAGCTGGGAGGGCTCCCCGCTCCAGGGGAGGATGGGGGTGGATGGAGGGTCAGGCTTGTAGCTGGAGGCCTGCTGGGGGCTCAGCCACGAGGACGAGGACAAGGAGCGGGTGGGGGTAGGCTGGGGGGAGGGTTGCACAGACGGACCCAGGCACTCACTGGGGGGAGACCGAAGCCTCACCCTCCCGCCATTCACCAGACATCAAACCCAGCCTCTCCCCCTTCCAGGATATTAATTTTTCAGAGAAGAAAATGCTTTTTGTATTTTTTCCAGGCAAAATATTGATAATGGGCTTAATGTGCCTTTCCTGCTTTTGTGTGTTGAGAGGGCTTTTCCATCCTGGTTGCTGCAGAGGCCGCACACCCCACCCCCGCCTCAGCCCCCATCGGCAGACCCTCACTTGGCTGCCCCAGTGTCTGCAGAGAGTGGGGGGGTGGATGGCTGCTGAGCGGGTTGGCGCAGCCCCCTCCCTCCTCGAGCCCCCCACCTCCGCCTCCACAAAGCCAGACACTCGCCGCCCCACGGTGGGTCGATGCGCCCTGCCAGGGGAGCTGGTGTTTCTGGCGGCTGCAGGCTGAGATACATTTCAAGTTGTTTGAAATTTGCCTTCCTTTCTCTCATGGCACTTGAGAAGCAGGAAGGTAGGGAGGTCCATCCATCAACCCACCCACCCATCCACCCATCCATCCACCACCCACCCATCCATGCATCCATCCATCCATCCATCCTCCCATCCATGTATCCATCCACCACCCACCCATCCACCACCCACCCACCATCCATCCATCCGTCCATCCATCCTTCCACCCATCTGTCCGTCCATCCGTTCATCCATCCATCCACTCACCCATCCACCCACCCACCCACCATCCATCCATCCCTCCATCCCTCCATCCACCCACCCACCATCCGTCCATCCCTCCATCCATCCATCCACTCATTGTACATCACCCAGTGACTATGCACCTACTTCATACCAGGCTGGGTGCTGGGTGTTGGGGCTGCAACCACCGCTTGGGCAGACCTGAACCCCTGCCCCCTTGGAGTTCAGCCTGGTGTAAGAGAAGGGTGCTAAGCAAAACACTCCAGGAAAAAAATATATATCACCACAAATCGTAACAAGACCCTTGTAGGAGAGACACAGAAGTGTGAGATCATAAAACAGTGAGGGGCTGACTGAGTATGGGAGCCAGAGGGCTTCCCTGAGGTGGTGACAGCAAATGGGACCTGGAGGACCAGAAAGAGTGGTCTCTGCAAAGAGGGACAGTGAGGAGCTCAGCATTCCTCTGGAGGGAGCAGCCTGTGCCAATGTCCTGAGGCATGAAATAGTAGAATCTGCTCTCTCAGTGGTTCTCAAATGTAAGTACGCAGCAGGATCCCCTGGAAGGCTCACTAAAGGCCAGACAGCCAGTCCCCCACGTCTGGAGATACCCCACATGTAGGGGCACTAATTCAGCAGGTGGGGCTCTCAGTCTGAGAGCTACTGCACCAGGGGAAGCCAGCCAATAGCTTGCTGAGATGCAGACATGAGCCAAACCTCCAGGGGTGGGCAGAAGACCCCCAGCCCCCACTTACTCTCTGTGTGCTCTGGGAGGGCTCACTCAAACCTCCAGACCTCAGTCTGTCCATCTGGAAAATGAGCATGATAAGCATCCCAGCTTCCTGCAACTGGAGAAAGGATGAGCCAAGAAGACCCAGGTCAAAAGCTTGGTGCAGAGCCTAGCACACAGTAGGTGCTCGGTAAATGTAAGTGCCAATGAATATCTGTGTGATCGATTAAGGAGCAGGAGACCTTCACTGAGCCGGTGGCTGATCAAAATGCAGCAAGAGCATGTCCCCATGTATTCATTAGTTACCGCTGAGTAAGAAACACGCAAGTCTCCCAGCTTCAAGCGACACACTTCTATTATGTTTCAGTTTCTGGGCGTCGGTGGTCTGGACGTGGCTCAACTGGGTCCCCTGCTCTGTCCACAGGCAACAGTCGAGGTGCCAGCCCAGCTGAAATCCTTCCTAGATTTCCAGGTCCTTTTCCGAGCTCACATCGTCGTTGGCAGAATTCAAGTCCTGTGGTTGTAGGATTGACGTCCCCCGTTTTCTTTCCGGCTGTTGTCTGGGAGCAGGGTGCTCGCAGTCACGGGAACATGTCAGCCGACTCCCAACATGTGGTTCCCTCCAGACCCCTAATAACATGGCAGCTTGCATCCTACTCACCACCCAGGGCCATGGCCATGCCTTCTGATGGCTACAAAAGTATGAATGGCCATAGATATGTACATATTTGCAAGTGTTTCTCTTTTTGCATTCCCTGCAGGGGAGCTCAGAGCCAACACTGTGGCCCAGCTGTGGCAAGGCTTTAGCACCACCTGATGCAGGTTTAGTGGACTAACTTGCCTTCCAGCTACAGCTTCTCTCCACTTCACTTCTCATTTGTTTCTCGGGCTGCCCTGCCTCTCTGCAACCCCTCTGCCTCAACCTTCTGGACCCCAAGCAGACCGAGAAGGACAGCATTTGAGCACTGTACCTCCCTGGTGCGGACAGGGCGACACTGCCCAGAGCAGTTGTGAGAACTGGCCCAAGAACCCAGCAAAGAAAAAGATTAGAGAATCAGGACAGAAGCTGGGCTCAGTTCCAGACGATCAGCTTTTGAGAGCTTGGGCTAAGGGCATCGCACACCTTCAATTAAAACACACACAGAGACAAAGTGACCTCTGAGCAGGTTGCATCAACCAGCAGAAGACCGCACGGCAGCGACCTCCTCCTCCCCTGATCCTGAACCCAGAGCTGGGATGTGGGGCTGCCCTCGGCATAAATAATCATCCACAAACGTGCGTCCACCCACACATCGATCTGCGGCCAGGACAGTAATGCTGCTTCAGGGAAACTCAGTTGCCCAAGCTGTGTGAAATCCACACCCCAGGCTGGCCCGGGACCCCTCCAGCCATTGAACCAGGGCCCAGCTTGGCCCAGCAGCCTTCCTGAGCCCCCCAGGGGAAGGCGGGGGCCATGGCGTGTGCTTTCTTATGCTGCATGTTTAGCTGTCATCCTGAACTGGACAGGCCCTGACCCAACCCTCCAGGTACAATAGAGCGGACTTCCTGGGCACAGGCCCCTGCCGGACACCAGGGCACCCCGAACCCTCTTTGTGCCTTCTCCAGGGACTCCCAGGCTGGAGAGAGAAACAACAGGCCCCCGGGAGGGGAGCCCGCGGTGCTGGGAGCAGAGGAGATCTTACAGGACAGGGTGGGATCAGCACAGGGCCCTCCTGAGGTGTTGTCCTCAGACTCCCCAAACCCCCCCATCTGAGCCATCCTCATCTGAGCCATCCTCTTTCCTGAGCTGCCTCTTTCTGGCCAAGCCCACCCTTCCAAACCCAGCCCCGAGTTTGCATTAGAAGGATGGTTAATGTGGGTGAGCACATACCACGCACCAGGGCCTTGTCCATGCCCCTAACTTGTGTCAGTTCACAAGAGTTCAACGTGAAATCCCCATTTCTGGATGGAGAAACTGAGGTACGACACAGCGGGTGCATCACTCAGCGTCCGTCAGCGGGGCCCGAGTCCACACCCCACTTCTGTAATTGTCAAGGAAGCCAGAGAGCTAACGCGTAAAATGCGAATGATCGCCCTGGCTTTGCCCACCGGCCAGGCTGGTGAGGGGGGTGCTAGACTGAGGTGGACAGATTCTCTGATGATGCCCAGGGATGCAGCAACGCCCGGGATGCTTGTCTCTGCCTGGCTTGCCCCCATTCACTCTCCCTCACAGCCCCCTCACTTCCACCCCACTGAGAGGAGTCAGAAGATGGGGGGGTGTGCACAGAAGCAAACCAGGGACCCCAGAGCAAACCCATGAAGCCAAGGCTGCTTAACCCAAGGCCGCTGTGGGCCCTCGTGCTGCCTGCCAGAACCTCCCGTGCGGTGGGGGCACGTACTGACCCACTCCGAGGGTCCCCACGGGCAGAGGCCTGAAGCTGCACAGCCTGGAGGGACAGGGAGGAGCCCCCCCACCTGCCCCTCCACCATACCCTCTTCCCCTCCCCCCTCCCAGGCCCCGCTGAAATCCCAGGCTCTGGCCCTGGTCCTTTGGGTCTCCTGCCCTCACTGCCCACCTGGTTTCGCTCACTCCGTCTGGGGCAAGGACACAGCTCGGTGGCTGCACCGGTCACAAGCATTTTCTGAGTCTCTCCCACTTGCACTCAAGTTTGCACCGTGTGTGTGTGTTGTTTTTTTTTTTTTAAAGATTTTATTTATTTATTTGAGAGAGAGAATGAGAGACAGGGAGCACGAGAGGGATGAGGGTCAGAGGGAGAAGCAGACCCCCCGCTGAGCAGGAAGCCCAATGTGGGACTCGATCCCCGGACTCCAGGATCATGACCCGAGCCGAAGGCAGTCGCTTAACCAACTGAGCCACCCAGGCACCCCATGTGTGTGGTTTATGTCCATTTCACAGCTAAGCAAACTGAGCCCCTGGAAGGGTCCATGATGTGTGCAAGGGGGCGCTGCACTGGGAACCCACAACTTGCCCTTGATCATGCAGGGGCGAAGCCTGTGGCAGCAAAAAGGCCCTTGGCGATGTTCCCCTTCATCCCTGGGCAACAAGGCACCCACAGGAGGATAGCACCCCAGAGGTTAGGGGTCAGGTGCCCTACAAAACAGCCAAGGTGGGACTCAGTCTCCCCACGCAGGAAATGGGCGAGTGGAGGAAGCCACCCTTTGGGGGTTGAAACACCTACAGCACCACTTAGCGGGGGGCTCTGCCAGTGCACATCCACCTGCACCCCACCTTTTTTTCTGCATCTGGGATCTGAAGGTCTTTGATTTTCCCAGGCAGCTGAGAGACACCTGCTCTGGGAGGTTTTCTCACCTGGAAAACAAGCAAGGGGTCAACCAGATGACCCTCAGCCCTTCCCAACCCCTCCTGTCCCTGCAGGTACTGTGACCCCTCCGATCAGGGGGCCCTTCTGATGGGCCTATGCCAGAAGGATGTCCCCAATTTCTCACTCTGGTGCCTTACTCCCCCCCACCGTCTCTCCCCTCCAGGCAGGGGTGAGGGGAGGTAGGGGCTGGAGGAAGTTCTGCTCTCTGCCAAGTCCCAGGAGAGGCTGCTGAGAGGGGCCTGTCTTCTTGCCTCTGATGCACAGGGAGTTCAATAATAAGAGAAATGTAGTGTTGTGTTTGTGTTTTTTAAAAGTGAGGGGGAGAGAGAGAGGGAAGCCCCCAGTTCCTACCAGCCAAAGTGCAGGATTTATTATGGAGGCAATTACAAATGGAAGCCGTGGGGGCTGCTCCGAGGGGTCTGGGTGCTCGTTAGGGAGGTGGGCTAACCCACAGTTACAGCTGTTAGCAGCGGAGGGGAGGGAGGGAGGGGGAGGGAGAAGGAGGGAGGAGGCCAGAGAGGAAGAGAGAGTGGGGGAGGGGAGGGGCCAGGGAGGTGGACAAGAGGAGCATCAAGACTCCTCTTCCTTACCAGCGGGAGAAACTGAGGCCGCCCTCGGCCCCTCCAGACCTCACGGCTCTGCTTCTCTGCCGCCTGGGGCTCCCCCAAGGGTCAGGCCCCAGCGTTCGTGGTGGGGGTGGCCATGACTTTTCCAGGAGGAGCCCGGTTGACCCTTCCCTCCCTGGGTCCCTTTCCTGTTTCACTGGCTGGTGGGTGGCATGGGAGGCTCCAGGAGCGCCGCAGGACCCGCCCCCCCACCTTCATCCAGGCTGTGAGCAGCCCAGCACTGGAGGAGGGGACCCCTGCAAGTGTGGGCAGGCTCTCTCTTCTGGTCTCTTCCCATTGCCTCCCACAAATGTGGGGGGGCATGGGTTCCTTGGGATTGTCCAAAGGACCCCGTCAGAGGAATGTTCTGTGTAGCTGAAACCCATGCTGCAATGCACAAGGTCAGCTGGGACAGCCCATTAGGGCTCAGAGCCAGGCCAGCCAGTCCTGCAGACCTGGGACTGGTTCCTGGCTAGGGGCCTCGGGCAGATCCTAGAAACTCCCTGCACCTGTTTCCTCCTCTGGAAAATGGGTATAATTAGAGTGGCTGCCTCAGAGTCCCACCTCCCCCAGCTTGCAGAAGGCACAATGGGGAGGGGGCAGGCAGTTGACCTGGGGCTCTGCTGGGTGCATTACTCCCCTGGGGAAATCTGGGACCGCCCCCCTCACCTCCTGGGCAGGAAGGAGTGAGGTAGCTCTGGGTTGAAGGGAGAACAGTCTCCTCCCCTCAGCAGGAGGAACCTACCAGGCTCAGGAGTAAATAGCTCTGCCTCCCCCACACCCACTGATATGGGGTCGGGTTCATTCTCTCCCCGCCCGCATCTATCGTGAGCTCCATTTGTGCAGACTGAGTCTGGAAGGAGTTGTCCTCAAGGCTGCCTGGCCCCCCTCCTGCCTGGCCTCCCCAGCTGACATTTAAGGCTTGGCTCTGACACCAACCCCCACTCTGCTCCCCGCTTTATCTCATTGACTCATTCAACAAATATTTCCTTAATGAAGGCCTGTGAGGAACCTGGGGACTGGTAAGGCCAACCTCCCAGCCCCAGCCCCAGCCCCTTCTGCCCCAGATCCTAAGGGGTCTTTCAGACCTTGACTCACCTACCTGATGGAACTCCTACACATCCCACAAAACTCAGCATCAAGGTCCTCTGCTGGGAAGGCTGTCGCCCTCGCCCCAGTCCTTACTCAGAAGGAAGGACGACTCTGTAGTCTGTCCCCCTCCCCAAGCCCAGGAGCTACACCGGGAGGGTGAGGAGAGACCTCAGCTCTGGGGTGGGGGCTGAACTGAGAGATTTGTTCAAATCCAGTGAGTGGCCCAGCTCCCTGCCTCCAGCTTGGACTTGTAGGTTCTGCCTGGTGGGCGAGCACCCCGAGCCCCAGTCTCAACTTCCCAGTGTCCCTCCGAGAGGGCCCCGCCCCACACCCAGGGAGGCAGCAAGGGGGTGGGGGGCCGCCAGCCCTTGGGGATGGTGGTGCTGAGTCTCTGCCTCCCCCTACTTCCTGGCCAAGCGGAAAGCGTGCCATGTGTTCAGATAAATGGCAAATTAATGGGGCGCCAGGTCAGGGCGAGGCTCTGCAGCCGGATGCCGTCCCGGGTTACCTGGGGCGGAGGCCCCCCCGCCCCGGACCCTCCCCGAGCAGGAGGGGCATCGTCCTCACTCCCGACTGGGTCCTCCGTCTCCGCGTCTGGAAGGTGGGCGCTCTCCCAGGCCTGTCCTCCCGGCCTCCGTGTGGCGACCCTTGCGGAGCGTGGGTGTCTGTGGCCGCATGCTCCGGGTGTCGAAGCCAGCATGCTGCGGCTCTGGGCCAAGGCGGCTGCTGAAAGCGCCCCGAGGGCCGTCCGGATGCAGCCCGGCCCGGGGCCCCCAGCCCAGAGCCTCCGCAAACCCACCCGCCAGGCCCCGCGCGAACCCGGCTCCGGGATCCGCATGCCCCTTTCTGCAAGGCAGAGAGCATTGTGGATTAAAGATATATATTTACATTTTTAATTGTTGAAGGAACCTCCCTTCCGGGAAGGACCAGAGGGCGCTCGGGGCTGCGATGGGGCGGGGGTCTCGCTCAGCCGCCGAAGGCCGGAGCTTGGCGGCGGGGGTGGCTCTTGGGCCCCTCTGGAGCCGCGCGCCTGACGCGGGTTTCGTTGCGCCGGGGGAAGTCCTCCGCCGGCGGCGCCCGGGCCCCAAGCGGTCAGCGGAGCCTGGCGGTGGGGCGTCCTCCAGCTCCCCAGCCCGCCTCGCCCCCGACCCCATCCTCCAGAAGACAGCAACCCGCGTCCTGCGGGCCTGGCCTCAGTTTCCCCGACTGCTCACTGCTGGGCAGACTCGCAGTCTCCTCACTAGCTCATGAAGGAGGAGGGGTGATCTCGACAAAGCCGAGAGAAGAGGGGTCGGGGCCTGACGTAGGGGGGCGCATTCGTGTCCCCGGCCCCCTCTGGCTAAGCCTCCAACTGGCCCTCACCCTTTTTACAACCGGGTAGTCCCAGGCTCGGCCCCCGGCCCGGCTCCGGACCTGCGCTCCGCTGGCGGCGCGCAGAGGAAGCGAGAGCAGGTGGAGGAGGAGGGAGAGGAGCGAGCAGACCTTGGGCGCCCTGGGATCCCTCAGCCCCTGCGGGTCACTCTCCAGATGGGGAAACTGAGGCGGAGACGGCGGTCCGGGAGCCCGGCGGCTCCTCCCCGGCCCGGCCTCGACCGCCCACCCCAGAGTATAGTGGTGGTGGTGGGGTGGGGGAAATTCTCTCCTCTGTGTCTTTGTAACTCCCGACCGCCGGAGGCCGGGCCGCCAGGGGAGGGGACGAGGACCCCGGGCCCCAGGGACACACACACACACCCGCGCCCCGCGAATGCCCAGCCCCGGTGCCCCCGCGCAAGTAAGAGTCGTGTTTGCCGAGAGCGCGGCGGGCGGCGCGGCCCGGGAGCGATGAGGCTTCGATGGAGCCGCGCGCTGCGGCGGGGGCAACGGAGTCCGGGCGGACGCGGGGATCGATCGAGCGCAGCTGTCGCTGACACGCCCGCGGGAGCATCCACCCCGCGGGCCAGCGCCCCCGGGCGCCGTCGACCGCGAGCGAGAAGCTCGGGACGTCCGGCCCGCCAGGGGCGAAGCCCCAACGTCGTGGCGCCCCAGGTCCGGCCCTCGGAATGTCCCCGCGCCCAGTGTCCGAAAGTGGAACCTCCGCGCGCCGCGCCCGCAGCCCCGCCAGGATCCCCGGCAGGCCTGAAAAGCCTGTCACCCTCCCCCCAAAATCTAAATAAAGTCCTCTGACCCCGCCCGAACGAAGGCGCCAAAGTCTGGCGGGAGGATACGGGCCTACCAGGCGCGCGTCGGCCAGGATTTGGGGGCGTCCGCAGGTTTGCGGGACTGGAACTGGGGGCCGGAGCGGATGTCAGGCTCGGGCGGGGCTGGAGGGGGGTTATTCATCGCCACTATTTATTAAAACCTTGCTCTAATAAAAACAGGGGTGCGCAGCGGCCGGCGACTTCCATTTCCGTGGGGACACACCGAATCACAAAATCAGCCTCGGACCGTGGAGGGACCTAGGGGAGGCCCGGAAAGGGACAACCTTGGGTATATTCCCCTCCTATTTTTAGCTGCGATGCGGAGCCAGAACCAGGGGAGAGGAGATGGACGACACTTGATTACAGGAGAGTTCCGAGCTTGGGAGGGTGGTGTAGTTGAAGCCGCAGGGACTGCTGGGCTCCCCGAGTGGGGAAGAGGTCCGAGCTGAGCACAGAGAGGGTGGGCATCGGCCGGGGGCAGCCCAGCGCGTGCAGACGCGGGGTCTCAGGGTCGATCTCCAATTTTTCTGCGGGGGGGATACTGAAGCCGGAGAGCTTCCGCGACGTGGCCAAGGTCCCGGTGGAGCGAGGATGGGGGTCTCCCTGCCCCCATCCAGCCCACCCCTCCCCCGCCCGCAATTTGCCTAATGACCCAAGATCGATCAGGGCCCTGAGCCACCCGCCTGCCCCGTAGCCGGCTCAATTCTATTTTACTAATTACTAAAAGGCCGCTGGTGCGGGAAGCCGGTTCAGGGGTTCCAGGGGGCCTCCCTCTCTCCATCCAGGGGGACTCCTCCCCGGATGCCTGCAAATTTTTGTTCAATCTCCCCATAGGAGCGCAGATTCTGTGGGGAGCGAGATCCCTGTTCCCCGAGGGAGTCCAAGTCCAGGCCAGCGTGAAGGAGGCAGGGGCTGCTTGCCTGGGCCGACGGCCCTGCCCCTGCCGAGTCCAGGCGCTCGGGGTGTCCGGAGGCCGCAGAGCGGAGGGGCCTCAGTCTCCAAGCCACTGGCTGGAGTCTTTTCTTTCAAAATGGACGCTTTCTTGGTTAGAAAAGCCACACACGCTTGTTATAAAAATGAAGTGATAATCAAGCCAGAGAAAATATATAAAGAAGGAAGCAAAAGGCTGCATGATCGGGAACCCCATGGCATACCCCTGGGTGGACATTTGGGGGTACTTCCTTCCACCTTTGTTTTCCCACCCTGAGTCCTCCGCCCGCCTGATCTGCACTTCTTGGGCCTGGGATGTGATCATTTTATGGAGGCTGATTGATTTTTAGATCCCATGATTATTTTTAATTACCTGTGATTGTTGGAGGGTAGGACTGGGGGGCTCCGGCTGGGCCTCAGCACTGTCAAACCCACCTCCTAGGCTCCATCTGCATGGGAGAGGGGGATATTCAGTTGTCTGGACCTGCCCCTCTCCCCTCTCTGTCTTCCCACCTGGAAGATGGGTGTGATAATATATAACCTGGAATTACATAGAAACCCCGGAATGGAAAAGCCCATGGACCTGGACCTGGGGGAGTGTTAGCACTCACACAGTTCCTAGGAACCAAGGGCAACAAGCCATGGCACTCTCCACCTTGGGCCCAAGGCACTTGGAAAATGGTGGCTTGACTCCCCCTCAGGGCTGGGTGAGGAGAGAGTGTGTGCCTGGTAAACAGTAGGCGGCTACTAAATGCTGAGTCCTAAGCACAAAACACTGACTGGGGTCCCCTTTAACCCCATCCGGCCCCAGGACTTGGATCAGGCCGTTCCACTGTCTGATCCCTCCAAGCTGGGGTTCCCGGTCATCCCAGCTCCCTTGTGCTTAAAGACAGCACCCCTCCTTCTCCCACTATGGTGGTCAGCACAGTTGTGCGTCTGGCTCAAAGCTAGGGCAGGCAGGAAAGCACTGTCCTCCGCATCGTGGAAGGGAAAACAGACACAGAAAGGGCTCTGCACAGGGGCCAAGCTCAGTAGCAGGTCCACATCCACAGCGGAGGAGGGTGGTGTTGAAGGTGGGGGGAGGGGTGGCCAGCAGTTTGCCTGGAGCAGGGGGGATGGCTCCCTGCTAGGGTCTTCTCTCCCCTGGCAGCTTACACCCCAGGTCGTCCTGCTGAGATGGGGGTGACTGGGGGGGGCGCTTCGGCAGAGGCCTCGCTAGTTTTCCCCCCAAAGGTTACCCTGTGGGGCCGATGATCTGGGGGAGGAGGAAGGGGTGGGGTTGATTTGGGGATTCCCTCCCCCACTCTGGCCTCGAGACAGGGGCACCCTTTGGGGTCTGGCCTGGTCACAGGGGTGCATCTTACCCCACTGGAAGGATCATAGAAGGGGATGTCTCTCTGAGTGTGGGAGGCTCCCTGTTTCCCCCAGTTCCCAGGGGTCCCTGGGCCTCAACCGTCTCCAAGTGGTGAGGAAAAGGAGCACCTTCACTTCCCCACCCAAAAGAGAAACCCTGGCGTTTGAGGCAGGGGTTTCTTAGGGGGCAGAGAGCACATGTCCTCTGCCCGCCATCTCTGGAAGAGGATGGGGGTTCTTTAAGGGTCACCCCCAAGCTGCTCCCACGCTGGGGATAGAGGAAACTAGAAGAAGGTGGAGGTGGGAGGTACCTTTGGCACCCCTGAGGACAGGTGCTCCACTGTACAGCTAGGGAAACTGAGGCCCAGGAGCCCAGCCGTGGAAGCAGATCCAGACATTTGGGGCAAACAGGCCATGACCCAGCCCGAGGAGCACCTGGCTGTTCAGCACCACACCCGCCAGAGAGACGGGAAGGGGGCTGTGACTCCGTGTGGAGTGCTCAGATAGGGGAAGCTGAGCTTGCAGAGGGACCTGCCTCCTGGGGTCCAGGTGCGCGCCAGTGGAGGGGGGGAACAGGTAGATGGCAGGCTCCCACCCAGCCACATTCCTCCGCACTCCCTGGAGATGCGCTGGGGGGCGTCAGGCGGGAAAGGAACCTTCGTGACCCTCTGGGGAGAGACACAGAAAGAGAGAGGCAGAGATGAGGGCCCCAGCCCCACCTCGGCGGCGGAGTATACCCTCGGAAGCCCGCCCGCTGAGCCCGCTCACGGCTGGGCCCCCGGGGAGGGGGGCGGGGCGCGGGCGGGCGCCG